ATGGCTTTTCCAACAAGCGGGATTGGCCTAGGGAATTTTAGTGGGGTTTTTAAGGGTAATTTTAACGATTAGGCCTTTACAAATATTTTCTTTTAATTTGGTTTTAATATTGATATTTGTTGTAATGTTGTTTTATAAGGCTGTTAGCCGCCCTGAGTCCGGTGAGGAGAAGGGCGGGATACAAATTAAATAAATAAATAAATAAATAAATAAATTATCTGTCCTTAAATGCTATCAACACTGTTATACTATGTGCATGAACTCTGTAATCAATAATTACATGTTTTACAATGTTTTACTCTGCAAGTTTTTTCCTTTAGTCCATGAATGCGAAAAAAGTATATCTATCACTTAAAACTGATGAGATGTCAATAAGACAGAATTATCCTCAGGTCAATAAAGGCAGTCAAAACCCTGAAGCTTCATCTGAAGACATTTGAAATGAACCAAACTATCTGGGTGAGAATTAGTTTTACTAAAGCAAAGATTTACTACTGATTTTCAATGGGCCTTTGCAGTACAGTTAGTCCTTGACTTACAACCATTCATTTAGCAATCATTCAAAGTTATCGTGACACTGAGAAAAGTGACTTATGACTGTCCTCACACTTACGACTATCACAGCATGCCCATAGGCATGTGATCAAAAACAGCTGCAGTGTCCTGTGATCTTCATTTGTGACCTTCCTAGCCAGCTTCCGACAAGCAAAATCAATGAGGGAAGATGGATTCGCTTAACAACCATGTGATTCCCTTAACAATTGCAGTGATTCACTTAGCTACCATGGCCCAAAAAGATTAAAAATTGGGTGTGGTTCGCTTAACAATGCCTTGCTTAGCAATGGAAATATTGGTCCCAACCGTGGTCATAAGTTGAGGACCACCTGCACTTTAGTTTTGTGAGGTGGGGCTAGAATGCAAGAATGTACAGATTAAAAAGAAAAAGAAAACAATTAAAAAAACCCAGAAAAGTATTTTGGTTCTATTGATGTGGTTTAACTAGCAAATAAACTTAAATTAAAATTTCAAAACAGTACTTTATTAAAAAGAGTATTGCTAGGAATATTTTATTACTAACTTCAGAGGACTCATCTTTGTAAAAAGACTACTAACCTAATACTGAGACCATATTACCCTGGCTTCTAAGCATCTACATGTTCAGCTAAGATATGAAAAACTTGTTTTGAATAGATGGTAATATAAGAAAACTCAAAAGAGCAAACCTGAAAGAAAAAAACAGGATCTACTATGGCAAATAGATACTGTATGGTTAAAATTATTTAGCATCATTATTTAGCAAACTCTCTACCCAGCCCTCCCATCAGGGCAAATACAGTAAATAATGACACTCTGAAATCTGAAACTATCTCATTCAATTTCCACGGTTGGCTATAATGAAGATTAGCCCTTCTGAATCCAGCACTGTCTGAATGCATTGGACTATAGCTTCCATAATCCCCAGCCAGACAGATACATACTTTAAGGGAATTGGATTTATTATACCTTTCTCAGTGTGTTCTGGTTGATTACTGCTGCTGGAGCTGACACTGGCATCAAAGCCTGTAGGAGATACATTTCCTTCCGACTGAAGGTCCTGCAGTTCTCCTACAATACTGTCCACCTCAATTGTGCTATCTGTTTCACTCTTGATGCTTCGTACTTCTTCTTGACTCGGTGCCAGAGTTTCAGAAATAGATATGCCCGACTGATGCCTGCTGGAATCTGCTACCGTTACAGATGGAGGTGACTCAGGTGTAGTGGGTGGGGTGTTTAGAACCGAATTACTGCCACTACTTGGGAATTCAACTTTCTTGTCATTCATTTCCGCTGGCTTTTCTTCGACAGGTTTTGTATCTGTGCTTAGTGGCAAAGGTCTTTCAACTTTAGAACTAGGCAAAGAGGTATCCTCTTCTTCAAGGGTTTGCAGATGCTCCTCTGGTGTTGCCTCCTCAGGAGAAGCATGGGGTGGAGAAGCTGCTGCTTCTGTATCAGAATCTGAAAAAAGTTCCTTGAGAGTCTTTTTAGGCCATTGTCCCTGAATACTTGACCACACATCTTTCCGGTCTTTTGCTCTGGTATTCTGAAGCCTTTCATCAGAGTTACTTAGAAGCTTTATTCTCTTCTCTGACACTTCAGAGAACCCAGGATAAAAAGCATTTGTCCGTAAAGATTTTCTTTTATCATCTAACCCATTATACTTCTTATTAGGTGTTAATTTTAACTTATTTTTTACTTCATCTTCATCTGAAGAACTATTACTGCTGTTTTCCAAGCTAAGTACATCTTTGCCATTTGATTTTTCATCCTTACTATTAGG